TTCATATCTTCCAAAACCTTGAACAAGAAAGCCCAGTTCAAATTGTCAAAGGCCTTCTCTGAATCTAAGAAAATCAGTACGGCTTGTTTTTCATTATTTGCTCCAAGTATTCTAAAATGTCCAACACATTTCTAATATTGGCCTTTAACTGTCTTTTAGGAAAAACCCACATTGACGCTCATGAATAAATTCTTGCAAAATTATTTTCAGTCTATCAGCCAGAAACCTTGTAAACAACTTGTCATTATTCAATAATGAGATCGGCCTATAGTTTCTTGTTAAAGTCAAATTGTGACCCTCTTTAGGTATTAGTGCTATATTGGCCTCTTTTCAGCTCTCTGGCATCTTTAAAGTAGAGTTCATCATATTTTGTAAAGGTGGTAAAAGTTCACCCTCAAAACATTTATAGTAACAACCTGATAATCCATTTGGTCCAGGCACCTTTCCTGGTTTAATCTTTTTTATAGCTTTATAAACTTCCCTTTTTGTTCAAGGTCCATTCGTAATCTGTTTCTGTTCCTCTGTAATCCTCGGTAGATTTTGTTTCTTTAGGTACTCATCTGTTTTCTCCAGAGAGATGTCACTTGCTTTATACAAGTTGGAATAATATGGATGAAATGCTTTTTGTATGGCCACACTATCTGTTAATACAGTATCTCCCTCTTGTAATTTCAATACCATTTTCTTTTTGTAATTTATATTGCCAACCATTTCCTCGGTTTGTTTGCCAAGTCAAAGTTTTTTTTGTTTTACATAGTTCGTTTTTATTTCCATTTCTCTAACTGTTAACATAGATAACTGTCGTTGTAAAAGCTCAATTTGTTGAAAAATATTTAATCTTCTCTGGAAATGTTTGGAAATTATTCTTCTTTTCTCTTTATCTCATCCAAAATAGCTTGTGTTTTTTCTTGCCTCTTCTTTTTGAGTTCACTATTATGTTGTATAAAATAACCTCTGATAAAAGCTTTACTTGCATTCCAAACCATTATTAAATCAGTACCTTTATCTAAATTTTTGTTGTGGTTGAAGCACAGCCATGGGTCCACAGAAAAGTTGTCCACCCCTAAGTTAAAATCTGTTATGGGCCTCAGCTAATTCCTTGGCCAGACTTAGACTTGTTTGCTGGAATGTAGTCGAAGTAGGACAGTTTATTACTTTCTCAAAAATTGCTCAGATAATTCCTGTGCCCCAAGAGGACAAATTACTTTCTGAGCAGGTCTTCCAGAGACTTTTCTGTAAACTTGTACAAACTGAGAACAAGAGAGAACAGAGTCTGTATTGCTGTGAGTCCCAGGCTGGATCTGTATGAATAGGATTCTGGTGTCTTCTCGCACTCTTTTGCAGATTTATTACTGCAGCCGGACACACTCCCAGCTGGCTCAGTTTATCCATGAAGTTCAGAAGAGCCCTTTCGGTAAGGAGACTCGTCTGGTGTCCTTGGGCTCTAGGCAGGTAGGTACCTTCCTCAAAGGAATTCTGACATTCCCCAAGGAACCGTAGCCCAGGAACCGCCACCAAAATTAACAAGTTTGTGTTTGGTTTCTCTGTCTCTCCCCATAATGTTTTTATTCCCATGCAGTCCATTTTCCCTCTGTTACCAGACTGTAGTATGAGGTGGGAATGCACAAAAGGCAGAGGAGTAATGTCTTTCCCTGACTAAGTGATGAAAGGGAAGATAAAAAGGAACTAAATGTGGCCTTGCTGTGGTAGTCCTCTGACTCCATCCTGTCAACGACGAGTTCCAAAATGTCAACAAGAAGAATAATTTTAATTTTAAAAGTATTTTCAGGAATCAGAATTCCATGCAAAAATTCAGTAGCCAAATAATGCCTCTTATTATTTATTTATATTTATTTATATATCAAATTTGTCACTGCCCATCTCGTTGAAA